ACTAAATAGATCAGATTTTTTTAAAGCCTTGATTCTCTGTCCTACTTCTAGATAGAATTGGAAAAGCTACCAGCCACGTCCCACTGCTACCCATCAGGCAGAGGAAGAAATCACTCATGCATTAAAAAAAGTCCCTGGCCACCTACCAGCATGGTGTATGGTCCAGGCTCCCAAACATGCCATCATTACGAATTAGGAGTAACACATTGTCAATCTCTTCTTCCGGTAAATGCTTATCCAAGGCCTACTGATTCAACACAAAGTGCCTACAAACTTTGTTTTGCTTATTATCTAGTGAGGGAAGGGAGTAAACCAACATCCACAAACAAGTAACTGCAAATCCTCATGATCGGGAACTGTAGAGGGAAAGGACAGAGCCCGAGGGAAAAAGAGTACATGAGAACAGGGGCCGAGTTTCGATTAGGAGACTGGTTTGCGACTTGAAGGTAAATCGATATGACTTAAGAGTTTAGTGTAAAGGAATTTCATCTTCTGCTGAATCATGCACCTAGGCTAATGTAACTGAGGTATGTTACGAGGGCTGCTTTATCCAGCGGCTCAAAAAACCCTGTTATCTTTTCTTTCAGTCTGGGTTAGTACGTCTGCTTTTCCTCTTATGTGAGGACTGCAAGGTGGCTAGTGTAGTTGCAGACAGGAAATCCAGACAGCAGGGCAAAAGAGGGAGCTTAATCCTCTCAAGTCATTTTTGAAGAGCAAGGATTCCCTTCCCATCCCACCCAACCCTTTTGAAAACAAAGCAAAAAGCTACCACACTTCCCTCAGTGTCTCTGGCTAGAATTGCTTCAGAAACCCATGGCTAATATTTCTCTGAACACTGAAAGGTAATCACAGTGATTGACTTAGATGCATCAAGGTCCAGCCTGCTGTAAAGAATCCTTTTCCTGGGTGAACATATGGTCAGAAGATGGGGGAAGAGCATCGGTGGTCTACCACCAAGGAACAAGGGTATGAACCAGATGGTGAAAAGATAAATGAAATGCAGCTCTAGACCCTAAATATCTCAAAAGGATAATGTTTAAATAATCAGCACCAACGACAATCCTACACGAGCTACTGATGCCACCAGGTTTTGTGTTAAAGAAGATACAATGTGGGCCTGCCCTTAACGAGGCCCTCATCTGGGTGAACAAGAGATATCGACACAAATTTAACTGTAAGCATGTATTTTATCAGTTCCACGTAACAAGTTAAAATTTCAAGGAGGTTATCTTTTTCATTCGTTTCTCGAAGGAGGGAATCAACAACCCCCATGTCTCTATTATCCTTGGCCTCTACTCTTAGAGATCTGGAACTCTCTCCACTGTCACAGAAAAAAAAGCACTAAATAGATTCACATCATTCTACTCAGATGGCCACTCTGAGATATAAGGAATTCCAAAGAGGCTTCCAAAAATTACCCCACAATTCACAGAGTCCAAGACTATGAAACGATGAGATCCCTTGGAATTCACCAAACACTTTCCGTTCGCATTTAAGCTCGAAAATGACAACTGCATAGGTTTTCTGTGAGGAATTACATGAATCATAGTGGGATTTGGGGGTAACGGAAAACTTCTCTTAAGTGGTTTACTGAGAACAACAAAGAAGCAAATAGCGCTAATAATAAATCTCTTCTGAAAGCAACATCTTTATTTTTACAATAAAATGCCACTCTAAAATTTTATGACATTTGATTGCAAATTAGTAAACACTCATGAACATTAATGTAGTCTTTTTCTCAATTTCTCTCATATTCTTTCATTTCTCCTAAATTACTCATATATTTTACAGACATAAATGCAACAAGGGAAAACTATATTTTAAAAATATACAAATACTCTTTTCCCCCCTTGCCTTTCTAAATCCAGGGGAAAGAGTGCATCTATAAAATATGATTTCAGCTTCTTATGACCTTAATGATCATGTCCTCCTACAAGAGCAATACAGATGACTAACAGGGGGGGGGTGCATAAAATGTGGGGATAAGAGAGCACTGTACGAGGTCTGTTAAGTCGGCAACAAGTACAGGTGAACCTGAGTTTCTAAGGTAGGATCCACCTGGGAGATGTGTGGTAGAGGAAGGTGATGGAGTAAGAGACAGAAGTATAGGCAGGGCAGGGAACACCAGAGAGCCCTTAACTCAAGGTCTTCGGAGGTTCCAGCAGGGGCCAGCCTGCTCATGGGATGGAGCAGGCAGGCAGAGTCAGCCCTGCAGAGGCCATGCAGTCATTAACTAGGAATGGTGTCTCCTGAAGCTCAGGCTTCAAAGGCAAAAAGCACCCTCAAAGGCAGAGAGATGGGACTCTGAAAAGCCAGTTCATGATGGGACCTGGAGCCAAGTCTCGCTAATAAGTGACACTGTCCTCGTGACAATGTCCACAGTGGTTAAGCAGTCAACTGCTAACCAAAGGGTGAAAGGTTAGTGCACGCTAGCCATTACTCAGGAGAGAAAATCCTAGGGGTCTGCTTCCAGAAAAAATTCTAGCCGAGGAGACTACACACCGTTCTACTCTGCCCTACTCCGCGGGTAGCATTGGACTGCTACCTGCAAGGCTTGTGGTTCAAACCCATTAGCAACTCTGAAAGAGAAGAACCAGGCTGCCTGCTTCTGTAATGATTTACATATTTGGATGTAAAGAGAAATCCTAAAATGGGAAACAGTTAGTTTGCATTCTTGGGACTTTCTACTTTACCAAACATGACCAATCCCTCTCGATGACACGACAAGGTCTCACCATCTTTGCTGTTAGGGAGCATTATGGTTCCACTACTCCTAAAACAGGTTTGTTCTTTCTTCTGGAAGTCCATGGTATAGTCAATATTCCTCATCCACCCCATTCTAATGTATCAATTCTTATTCATTGTTTTTCCTCCTTGTCCGGCTTTTGGGCATCTAAATACCTCAATGACTGGAATTACCATGACGTGGGTAAGGAGAACCTTTGATCTCAAGGTCTACAATAAAACCTTTGCTTTTTAACATTTCAGCACTTGAAGAGTGCTTTCTGTGAATCCAAATAAAATAAAATCCTGGAAAGCTTCACTTTTTTCTCCTTTTATCATAATGTGATTGGTCCATTTAGGAGAATTTTTATAATGTTAAGGTGGAATCCATACTGAAGTCTGCTCATCACCCGTGTTCCCAGACCCTCTTTGCTGTTAGTAAGCAAGGTTGTGTCACCTGCATCTTAAGGTTGCTTATGAGCTTCCTCTAATCCTCATGCTTTGTTGCCCTGCATCTAGTTCCCTCCTCAGTTGTTTGGTCAGCATACCGTCTGAATCAGAATGGTGAAAGGAGGCACCCCAGACACAGAGTTGGCTTGAATTAAAGCCACACCCCATTCTGTTGTTCTATTCGAATGACAGTCTCTGGTTTAGGTAGAGGTTCCACACACGTGTGAAACAGTGTTCTGGAATAAAACTTCAGTGTTCTGTTATTACCATTCTTTGCTAAGTCATCCATAATTTGTTGTGATCCACACAGTTGAATGCCTCGGCATATACTCCATAAAACACAGGTAAACACCTTTCTGGTATTCTCTGCTTTCATTCCTTGCTCTATGTCCTTTTCTGGATCTGCCTTGAATTTCTGGAAGTTCCCTGTCAATATACTGCTACCAAATATATTTGAATTATCTTAAGCATAATTTTACTTGCAAATATTACTAATGAAATTATTTATAATTCATGCACTCTACTTGATCACTTTTCTTTGGAATAGACATGTAAATGGGTGTCTTCTAGTTTGTTGACCAGGTAGCTGTCGTCCAAGTTTCTTGGTATGTAACAGTGAGCACTTCCACCATTGCAATGAGTCATTACATGAAGATATTCCACGTCACATAACACAGAATAACAACTTATCAATTTACCTCAAACTCAATGAAAAATTGTGGTATGCCAGGTACTGTGCTATTAAAAAGATGAGATTAAAGTTTAATTTTAGCTCTCAAAGAGAGTGATAAAGGAAACAATTTTTATTTCTTTTAGATAATTTTATCAGGGGCTCTTACAGCTCTTATAACAATCCATACATCAATTGTATAAAGTACATGTGTACATATGTTGTCGCCATCATTTTCTGAACTTTTTCTTTCTGTGTGAGCTCTTGGTATCAGTTCCTCTTTGTTCCCTCCTTTCCCCACCCTCCCACCCTTGTGAACCCTGGATAAATTATTATTTTCATAATGTACACTGACTGCAGTCTTCCTTCACCTATGTTTCTGTTGTTCTTCACCTTTGGGGGGGTTATACAA